TCACCTGGAATAAGCTTTGGGCGGAGGCTCAGACACTCATCGACGACTTAGGCCTACCGCCCTTGGCTGCGAGGCGGCGGCGCAGAGCACGCGCAGACTACGACCAGTCGGGAGTGAGCAAGGACGACTTCCGTGAAATATTTCCAGTCCGTTGTGCAAAAGCGTCCGTTTCGACTCGAAACTTTCGAGCTGCTCAGGCGCTTCAAAGCGCCTGAGAATGTCTCTGTGTATGCAAGAGTACTCGCTCTAACCCCGGGAAGCTCCCGTTTTTCGAACGAGGATGATTTGGTGGGAATGTTTCGCTATTATCATCCGGAGGAAACTGTATCCACAAAGCCGCAAAAGCTCGAGATTGCGCTTCTGAGAGACGTCTTTGATCGCGGTGGGGAGGACATGCCGGGGGACATTTTGAGCTTCTACCTCTTTCTAAACCCCCAGGAGCGTGTTCTCGGCAATATGGTGAAGCTGCTCAAAATGTTTTACCTCGCGAGAGGCTCGAAAACCTCAATATAAACGAGATTATCGACCATTTCGCTGAGTCGAATAGACGTCTTATTCTGAGGTAACTTATTTTTCCAACTACGAAACGGATTATTTCGAACAGTGGTTTGCTGACAATACTCATCACCGAACTTCGAGAAAATTGGAGGCTTGCGTTTGTCAGAGCCGCCCCCGACCGGAAACTTCTTGCCCCCTCTCTGCCCCCCCCTACTGCTAGACCCTGCCGCCGCCCCAGTTCTGTACACTTCTAGCCGACTGACAAAAAATGCCCAGATTGTCGTAGTGGTACCTCCGTACATGACAAGTGTAGTTGAGGAATCTCCCGAGCTCAGGTGAGGAAAATGGACAGGTGTTGCGAGTCGCATGAGAGTACTGGCGTAACTGCCCCGATGTTCCCGAAGGGACGAAATCGAAGGTATGACGATGTACTCAACGAAATTGAAAGTTCTATGAAGAACTCGAAGGTTCGAAAGTCGAAATTGAAAGTTCTATTAACACGAACTTGAACTTCCTATCGACTTCGGACGAACTTGAATGCTCTACAACGAAGTTGGAAGTTCGAATTGTGAATATGATCTTCCCGTTTCGGATTCGTACCTCCAACTTCGCGCGTCCCGACGAAATTGATGGTTCCCAAAACGAACTAGATGTTTAAAAGGTATAGATTCAACATATAAGGAAGGCTTCTCATATCCATATATTTCATGCTGGAATCGTCTCGTCTCGAGCACGGCTGAGTGCTCCACGATGTGCATCACGTTCCGTCATTGAATATCCGTACTCATCGTCGCAGTTGCATCTCACATCACAATGGGAAAGAAACGAAAGCAAGCGAAGCGAGTCAAGGAGAAAACCGGCATATTTGATGTACATGACATAATCGATTGAGAACTGTCCCCTGTGGAGAACGCATGCACACCCGATCGTGGTTCCAAGTCTCCATATTCAGATAGTGTCGCCATCGAGGTTTCTGCCAAAGACTTCATTTCTGAATCCCCGGACCGACAAAAGTCTGCATTATCGATTCAGTCGACCGGGAAGATGCGTTCAGGCACTTCCACGACGCAAGGCTGGTTTGGGTACTTCACAAGGGAGACAAAGAACGAGAGCAAGTAACGTTCTTCGACTCGATCATATTGTCGAGTTTCAGAAGAGACGAAAGAAGAAGAATCGTGGTTTGACGGGTGGTTTGGTGACGATAAGAATCAACAGGAAAGTGACTATTAGTCCCACAAGGAACAATTTGAGGAAATTTCGGTGTAGGTTCCGGTGAGAAAAAGTCAAGAAAGGATGGGGGAAAGGCAAAAAAGAAGAAGGATAGACGTCTGAAACGCGAAGAGTCATGTAAGGAGTGGGAATATCCGCATATGGTCAACTATGTGCGTTAGTGAAAATATGGAAATTCTGACCAAAATCTCATTGTTCTCTGTACACTTCTACCCGATTTTTTATATGAACTTTCTTGATGAATGAGGAACCTCCTAAACCCAGCTGAGGAAAGCGCAGATATATTCCTGCAACACTGCACATGAGACATACAAACAAATCGCACAGTAGCACTCTCCACTGTAGCCCCGAGTGAGTCCGAAGACGAGCCCTCTTCGGGCGAATCCGACGATTCTGAGCGCGTTACTGCGTTGAGGAGATCACAACCATCTTTCTCGGATGCCAGTGATAAGTCTGACAATATCAGCCTTGTCGATTCGGACAACTCTATGGAGTCGGAAATCGCACATGGAAGAAGACCTTGTTCACGATGTGGATATGCAGGGGAGATTCACCATGAATCAGCACGACAAGAAGAAACTCAGGATGACATGTCTGTGAGGGGAGGGTCGCTTGCCTCGGATAATGATCTCGAAAATATGGACTTTGATGAGCTATGGAGGAAGATTTGGGAGGTCAAGCCCAACAAGGAAGAAACTAAGAACGACGCACCCGATAATGCAGTGACTGACCCTACACCAACTGAGGAGTCCTGGCTATATCGCTTGTGGAAAAGCTTCTTCGCTAATGACAAGGATAAAGAGGAGGAGGAGGAGGTTGCTAACCCACAGTTGGCAAGAGTCGCCGAGAGCAGTTCTCCGAATGATAGCTCTGAAGTTCATAGAGTTGATCAAAAACTGCCAGTCGGGGTCACCAATCCAGTCGATAGGCGATCTCGACTGACAGTTTCTGCTCAACTGACATGTGAGTCGAGGCCTCCCTTGGTCGTGAATGACGAGAGCTTGAAGAGAACTGAGAAAATACGAGACTGGCTTCAAAATAATACTCCCACCAGGAGTTACACTAGGCCAACACACAGCGAAGAATTGCGACCGACTCCCAGATCTGTCCGGTGTTTATCTGGTATGCCACTGACATATTATCGTTCGTCAATGCCGTCCTCACTCACTCACGATCGAGCACGAGAAGTCCGAGTCATTCACGAGCGACAAATGCATGATGAACTACGATGATGCTGGTACGTGTTCTCTCGGAAGTAGTCTTGTTCAAGTTTACAGCGACGACTCGGGAGAGTCAATAAAGAAGAATAGCGCGGAATTGATCAGAGGATTCATCGCGTTGTGTGGTTGTGATTCTCTATTCTCGCTAGTGGTATTTAAGAGTGGCGAATATTGAAGGTATGAAACCTTTAGCCTCTGAGTTTTGGCAGGGCGCGTGTCGACTCACGAGTGCCGTCTGGGCACTGCGGAGGATGACACGCAGGGTACACTAAGGACACTCAGGATAGTAAACTTCTGTCGTAAGCCACTGAAGCTTGCTACCTGGAGTGCTCCTAGGACCGACCACCAAACCCTGTCACAAGGAGGGGTCAGAGATTCAAATCCACCACCATACCCAGGAACGATAGGGAACTCGGTTGGACCGAATTGACCACACTGTGAATGAATTGACATTGTCAATTTGACAACACTACCACAATCGAACTTCGAGTATCAAGATAGAGACTATGTATTGGAATTCGAAATACAGTTAATCAACAAGGAACTACGGTAGTGGTAGTGAGACTCTGAGTATCATACCCGGTTTATTTGAAAGTTCAGGAGTTTAATCTAAGTTAAATTATTTAAATTATCAACTCAGTTATTAACTTATTTAGTTAAATTAGTTAACCAAAGACGCGCGCGATATCCACGTGCGCGTCGTGAAGGACAATGACAACTCGAGGAGTCGTGGGCCACGACTCGTGGCGCTGCTTTGGCAGTTATATTAGTGTTGCACTTGCCTCGCTTGTCGTCTATTTTCAATGATTCGCTGGGAGAAGAGTCGCTGATGAGCATCACCAAAAAACTCAACTTGTTCAACTACCTTTATGCAGCATAAAGGTAGTTGAACAAGTGGAGCATAAATTACGCTTTACCAGGTAAAGTTTACCTATGTAATTCTCCCGTATGAGTTCTCCCTCCTTCAGCTCAAGAGTGTCTCAGTATATCCCTTGCTATTTCAAGGGAGGTCTATTGTTACACTGAACTTCTCATCTTTTATATAAATCGGGTATAACATTTATTTTCTTGGTATTCTATTAAAGCCATGGGTAAAATGTGAACTCGAAAGGTAAAACATTAACCAAATGGGTGAAAAATTAAATTTGTCGGTAAAAAATTGACTTGATCTGGAGATGCTGTAGTAGTTTAAAACTATGTGAAGCGAGGGTAATGGGGATGGCAACACAAAGATGTCTGATCACCAGACGCTTACTCAACATAGTTGCGCGAGAGAGGGAGTGACTATGATGATGGGTCGAGTATCTCCAAATACTTGCAGATATCTTGACTCTTCCAGGATAGTGGAATCTCATCCGAAATTCGGATTCCGAATGAAAGTTACGACTCAAAATGTCAGCAGCCGTATTGCACTCTCCTGAAACATGTTCTACGCGATAAGATGCTGGCAGTGCCAGCCTGGCACTGACAAATCGGATAGAAATAGAGCAAACTGCCGTAGTAGGAGCAAGATCCTCGGAGCAGAGCTATAGCATCGCGGTATAGCCTTCTTACATTTCCGAGCGGTTCTTAGTGTGCAGATTCCTGAGTCCAACACTCCTTCTATATCTTTTAGTATGATAGAAGCTTTCAGATCCGGGACACCTACAGACGCTGATGGATGAGGACTCATGATTGTACTTAGTAATAACTGAAAATAAGTATTCTGATTCAGAATTTCTGAATAGCAGTCCAAACTAGCTCGACAGCTCGCATAGATCAACACAATTCCTTATCAGCATCTTCGGGGAACTCAAGGGAAATCCGAGCGTTACTGCCAACTTAGCAGTGCCAAGAGGGAGTGAATCCCGCCCAGCAAACTCAACAATCGGCGAGGAGCAAATATGGTCAGATCATCCACATAAATGATCTGAACTGAACAGTAATCCCTGGTCAGTCAGCGATAAATTCTCAAACGGCTTCCTCCATATGGGCTCCACCAAAAGGGAGTCGATCGCAGACCAAATGGATATCGACGGTGGGACACTGCTAGCGGTTTCCCGTCAGGGCGCTCGCAAATGATAGAAAGAAAACGAGACTCGTCGGGGCGAATGGGGAGATTTCTAAACGCTCCGGATTAATCAAGATAGAACATTCCTCGCTCTTCACCCGTTTGAGCCTCCATCTTCTTGATTGCGTGTAATACCGCAACATAATGGCCATGAAAGTTTCATGGCCATTACGTTTCATGATGAAACGTACGATAATTCGATCTTGCCACTCACACAAAAGTGAGCAAAACTTGAGTTATCGGGTACCTATAAACCACGCGAACTGTAAGTCAGGCATAGAAAACGTGTCTACTTCTCTGATGGCCACCGGTAGCGGGGAAGCTCGTACTGACATAAGCCACGTGTCGGTAACGAAAACTGGGGTTGCTGTTCCACAGAGAAACTCTCCATCAGGGAAACGAGGTTCGCAGACAGCGACAAAATCTCCGGAGCGGAGCTTCCGCTACACAGCATAATGCTCTGTAGCGGTGAGCATAATTGGTGAGCATAATGCATAAGCAGGAATACCAGACACGCCATTTGCTTCCGCTGCGGAAGCAAATGTCCATTTATCCTTTGAAGCCCCGTCCAGCGTAACACCATAAGCATGAAAATTGTTTCAGCTTTCTGATCAGGCCTGAAGTTTGAGCCGTCGTGGGCATCCGAGAGTAGCTGCCTCCTATTCAGACACTCACCTAGTAATATGCCGGGCACAACTAAACATGCGCTCGATTGAGCTATTTGAGCATGGGGCCACCGAAACGATGCGCAGGTACGAAATCAGACTTGAATTGTCCAATGCCGCGAAATGCTGCCAGTACGAGCCATCTCCGACATTCCGAGGGAATGTTGAGAATAGACCTGAAGTCCAAGACTCTACAAGCCTCGCCATTGACGAACGACACAAGATACTACTATACTAGTAATTCCGCACACTCCAGCGCTTCATCCAACTTCAACACTCCAGGATTATTTGCATGGAAATTGCGTATATCGGCTCTGCATTTCTTAACCAGCTTTTGCCTGCACCTTTGCAGGATCTTGCTTCCAACGACCGGGAGAAAAATGTCGCAACCAGCCACGGTCGTTCTCGATTTGTTCGTGTCTGAGGAGTATGATTTCGAGGCGTAGCTTATGACAATCGGATCACCTCGATTCTATTTTTTCACGTGAATTCGAATTGAAGACTGGATTCCTCATCATTTTGAAGTAACATTCCTGGACCAGGATAATGCCAGTCATGATAGAGACTCCCTTCTTCTGAAGCTGTTTGTTGAGAATACTTGCGCACTGCAGAGCCTCGAGGGCTTCGTCAAGGCATCGCGACAGCCCGGTTCGCGGAACACCTCGCGTGCCTCCCTTAGAGAACTCTTGGCAGCACGCGTTAACCTGAAACACTCAGAGATGCTAGAATGACTGACAAGTCTAACCATTACTTGTTCCAATGCTGTTCACTCTCTAAAAGGGAAAAAAGGCGATCGAGCGCCGACCAATTCCTTCGAATACTCGCGAATGATTCGTAAGCATTTAGCCAACGAATATCAAAAATCTCAGCGATGGATTTACCGCCGATAGAGCGGTATACTCTTAAGGGATACGACAAGGAGGTAAATTTTCTGAGTTTTGAAGATAATTGGAGCAAAATTGCGCGTTCGGTGATTGTTTCCTTCGCGCTCGCAAAACCGCACGCCATTCGAATCGATTTTCCCCAACCGCAACTACGTGAGGTACCTTTTATACCTACCAGGCGGCATACTCCTAGGTCATGTGATGCAGACAGTAATGTCATGCTCTTCGACTAGGCTTCGTACGCGACTCTCACGAACTCGTTAGTACAGCCTCGGCGGAACACCTCGGCGACACCCTGCCCTACCGCAACAGTTTCGGCTTCGACTGATTCCAACCCACTCCTTTGCATGGTTGGCACCAGCCGATTTGCTAGCCCTCGAACCAAATGACCGCATGTGTTCAAGGGTATGATAAGCCGACGCAGGAATTGCACGAAAGGTTCTACCCGCTGTCCGTCATCGATGCTGCTGAGCCAAGAGCTGCCGTCGCCAACGTACTGTAACAGTACGATGTGAACTATTCTAAACAGTACTACTGTTTAAAACAGTTTATATCGTTCCCGAGGCCCTGCATAACACTGGCCAGTGAGCATGCCTGCTCAGTGCTGTTGCACACATGGGCAATTTTCCGCTCGCGTTTTTCACTCGACACGATACGATATGGGAATTAAGGGAGCTATTTTCGCACCAGAAATAATTCCACACTGGGTGTGGAATTGTCAACGGCCCGCATCAGATACGTATTGAAGCATGCCCCGGCAATCGAAAACTCCGAAATCGAATATTTCGGTTTCGATTCGGTTTCGGTCGATGGACCGACCGAAACCGAAACGGCGAGGTCCATCTTGAAACCGAAACCGAAAAAAAACCGAAATACTCGGTTCTTCGGTCTTCTTTCGGATTTATAATGTACTACGGCACTTTTCCAAAAAAAACACAAATTGAAGGCCTCATTGTCCACAGACAAGCTGTAATCATCGCATTCTTTGCAAGTTCCCGAGTCCGATAAGTGTGCTCGGTTAATACAATGATAGTTACCTCACGAGGGTTGAAACATTATTATTGAAGGAGCTACACAAGGTGGCCACTGGGTGGCCACCGGCTATGCCACTATGGCATAGACTCCGGAATTGTCCGTGCGTATGACGCAATACGTGATAGTGTTTGGAACGGTAAATTTCCAACCGTTATTTCTATACAACGCCAGTGCAGGTTCAGAAACTTAATTAGTTAAGCATGCCAGCTAAAACAGCTACGTGAATATTATCCACTGATTGAGCAAGTAACTGGCGGCTCCATTGGAGCCGCTCCAAGGAGCAAAAATCCATTGGATTCCATGGCTAGATTGAGCGGCCCAATAAATGCGTGCATAATAGGTCACCTAACAACAAGAGTAGTAACTCATGATCTCTGATGAGTAGTACATTTTTGCTCCATCCTTAAAGCACTGCCCGGACAACCGATTGCTACTTCGCACCACCATAGCTGCCTTGATAAGGTCACATTCCATTGAAGTACGGCGAACAGAGATCAGTAGCTCGCGCTCCTCTCTGGTGAGTTGCAAACGAGGTGGGGCATTGCTTCTCTCACTGTTTTCTGTATCTGAATAATGGGTACGCAAGAAAGGGTGGTATTTTTTCCACCTCCATTTCCTGCAAACGCGACCAAACTGTCCCCGCAACATGATGGTCTCGAAATACCTAGTTTAAAGAACCTCCACAATGTATAGTTCGCAGCGGATTACATTCTGCCGTTTTAACCATCTCGTGGAGCAGCATATCACCATCAACATCCAGCCCGATCATATCCATGACGCGGACTCCACGTTATAAATATATAACTGGCATAATTGCGGTGACCGCAGTGCGGTGTGCGGAAGTTGAACTCAATGTCGGCACTGCCGACTCGGCAGTTACGCGGTCCGATTATCGATCATTGGGGAGGGGCATCACCGTCGAGGTAGAGGGGAGGTAGTGGTGGTGTTGGTGACAAGCCTGCTATTAGGTTGGTCGGGCCCACTTCGAAACACCTAATAGACGATTTACCATCTTGGATGCTCCCGGTCATAAGAACTATGTACCGAATATGATCTCTGGCGCGGCCCAGGCCGATATCGGCGTGTTGATGATCTCCGCTCGAAAGGGTAATTGGCATTATTTGTCTAAGACTCATGCATACTACCATTGTCAGGCGAATTTGAGACTGGCTTCGACAAGGGTGGTCAGACTCGTGAGCATGCTATGCTTGCCAAGACCTTAGGTGTGAATAAACTGATCATCACTGTGAATAAAATGGACGATCCGACTGTGAATTGGTAGTAGTACTATGTTGTTGGGCTGAAGGCAGCTGACTTTGGTAATGGACAGGTCTAAGGAGAGATACGACCAAATAGTTGAGAAGTTGACTCCCTTCTTGAAGGGCTGTGGCTTTAATGTAAAGAGCGAGGATGACGTCTTCTTCCTCCCCATCTCTGGTCTCAAAGGTCAGACTACTACCTTATCGTTATTGGTAAACAATACTATCATATCA